GAACTAGTGCCCCACATTTTCATTTTGCACTGGGCCCCACAGCTTAGGTAGCCAGCCAGTCCCACTGGATGATATGGGTGTGTGCAGCACGGAACTAGCTTTGTGCGAAGAAAGATTTGTCCCTTTCTCCCTAACTCTTGGGAGGTCACCTCTAAGTCCTTGGAGTGTCTTTGTTGCCTGATAAGAGTGTCTTTGTTTTTACCTGGGGATGTTCAAGTCATGCCATAGAGTCTATGATAGCAGTGTTATGGGGCAGGGGAGGGGGCTTGGGCCACACACTATCAGTTCAACCTGTGCAGGCACTAGACACTGAGGTCAACCACATGGACAGTCAGGTACACATCAGTGGCCAACCCTTAATATAAACTCTGAACACCAGGGCTCAAGTGAGCTCCCTTGGTTGGCAGTACTCTATATTGTCACACATCATTGCTAGGAGAAATCTGCAGGGCTTCAATGGAAGAGGACATCTGGAAATCCACCCCGGGCTGCTCCTGGACCCTGCCCCATGTGTCACTTCACTTGGCTAGTTTTGACCTGTATTCTTGCGGCTCAGTGAACTGTGACCATGAATATTACAGCTTTGCTGAGTTCTGTGAGTCCCTCTAGCAAATGTTCAGAACTGAGGATGTATTCGGACTTCCCAAACTTACAGGGTGAACTTAATGGGCTCCCATCTCCTCTGCTTTTCTGTTAGGTTCTGTCAATAGGGAGGCCCCACAGAAGACTGGGAGAAGACAGAGAAAAGACGGCAAGGCATTTATAATCCTGATTCTCTCCCTGTGAGAGTTTTAGCTGGCTGTGCTTCTGAAGGGCAGAGGGCTCAGTGCACCCCGAGAAAAACTGTCTTGTTCTGTACAACTCTCTCTCCTCTGGCTTCCAGTAACATTTCCCCTCATCTCTTTTGTAAAGATAAGTGAGTTTCCACCACCAACCCTGAGTTCTTGCCTTGTGGATCCGCTACATGCAGCCACATCTTTGGAATGAGTCCCTTTGCAAGTAAACCCTCTCATGGTTTTGTTTTTGTTTTTGATTTCCTAATGTGAATAGGGCTTCTATTTCCTGCCAGGACTCTGTTGATACAAAATATAAGAGCAAAAAAAAAAAAATATGAAAAATTGGGGGCAGCAATGATTTTTGTGTTCTGTAATTTTTTTGTTGTTAATTGCAGTATCTTGACTTTTTCAACCAAACATTGAGTATAATACCTTTGTTATCAAGAACAAATTTTATTTTGAAAAATGTAGTGACACGTTCAGAGAACTATCGATTCTGCTCTCAGACGCCATCACCTCTGACTTTGGCCCTCTCTTCATTGCACCAACTCCCTCTTTGAGGACAATAATCCCCTAAACCACCCTTCCCTCCGCACCATCACTCATTGGTTATTTTGGCCAGGCTCCCTTCCTTCCCTCTCATGCTGTGAAAACTTCCTCCGAATTGCTGAGTGACTCCTCTCTGTTAATCCCGCAGTTTTTGTTTTTATTTTACTTTGAGGCCCCACATAGGCGTAGGGTGATTTCTAAGAGTGGGAAGTCAGTTCCATCCTCCCTCCTGCCTGGTTCCGACTTTCCCAGCATCATGAAACGTGGCGGTAGCACAGAGGAAGGGCAGAGTATGGGGACACATGACCAAAAAGGGCACTTTAATAACTTTGTCTTTCATAAATGACCCCAAGAGTAAGATTACAACATTCTCATTATTAAATGTGGTTTGATTTTTTTTTTTTTTGAGACAGAGTCTCACTTTGTTGCCCAGGCTAGAGTGAGTGCTATAGCGTCAGCCTAGCTCACAGCAACTTCAAAAGCCTGGGCTCAAGTGATCCTCCTGCCTCAGCCTCCCGAGTAGCTGGGACTACAGGCATGTGTGCCACCATGCCCGGCTAATTTTTTCTATATATTTTTAGTTGGCCAATTAATTTCTTTCTATTTTTTGTAGAGACAGGCGTCTAGCTCTTGCTCAGGCTGGTTTTGAACTCCTGACCTTGAGCGATCCGCCCACCTCGGCCTCCCGGAGTGCTAGGATTACAGGCTGAGCCACTAAATGTGGTTTGATTTTTAAAAGAAGGTTTACCTTACTTTAAGAATTATTTTTTTTTAATGTTGATGATAATCTTTAGACCTTGTAAGTGCTCTCTTAGTCACATTGACTGCACTATACTTATCCCAATTGCTGGGATTACACAGAAAGATAAAGCAGGCTGTGAATATTTAGTGATACCTAGTTTTTATTGGATTATGAAGTGATTAAATGCTTTCTATAATACTTCTCATAAGTATTCTGGAACTTTATTCCAGAAACCAGACGTGTTTAGAGATTTGAGGGTGAATGAAGAGAAGGCGATGGAAATCTATTAAATACCTACAACCTGCTTGCAATATACCTCGTACTTTACAGATATTGCCTTATTTTGCCTTATTGTGAGGTAAGTATTATTATTTCTATTTTATAGACAAGTAAATTTGCCCAAATTGTATAGCTAGTAACTCTGATTTGAATCTTTGTACTTTTTAATATAGCAAACTGCTATATCAATAATAGTATCTGTCCAGTATATGTATTTTGTTCAACTTCAAGTGCAGTAGATTATTTTGTTAGAGGAGCAAATTATGTTCACTATTTTAGGGAATAATAACATCAACTAGGAGAATTTCCAGATACTGGAAATAGTGGCCTGTTTGTAAGAAAAAGTATCAAGTTAAGAAAATAAACCACCAAAGACCATTAGAGTACTACTGTTCAAAGGAAGATCTGAGTAATAAACTGTCCATGCAGGAACTAGTCATGTTTTTTCAATCTTTAATATGGCCAGGCTAAAAATATATCTATCATTTATCAAGTTCCCAATTTATTCTTCATAACAGTAGAATCTCTAAATATGATTGGCACCCAAGTTGACCTTCTGTGGCCCTGAAGTAGATTCCCAGGTTTAAAAAATAGGGTGACTATGTCTGGAAAAGTTCAGGTCCGGGTTCATGTCACAGAGCTGTATGAAGCCATGGATTATGATTTCCTCACTTGCAAGACTCAGCCTTTGTTAAACTTGTTTCAGTTAAGTAATGTGCCTTCGGCCCTGCAGGGTGAGTCAAAGATGATCTACCCCAGAGCTTTCACTGATACCAGTTTCTTTTTCTCTTCCCCTCAATATCCTCTGCAGTGAAGGAGGTTGTTCTCTCACCTCCTCAAAACCTGTGGGTTATTGAATTGCTGAATTCTGACTGACACCACTAAACCCAGGCAATACCCTGTAAGAGATAAGAGATTTAGTCTTGAGCCTCTAGACTCTAGGACTCTGGACACAGGAGAAGTCAGGGAGACTAAAAGAAAGTCTAAACTGTGACCTGTAAAACTCCAGCCCCCACATGACACCACCACTGTCACCCAGAGAAAATACCTACAGTCTCGCCAAAGAAAACCTCCCAGCACCTCTAGCTGCCATTATTGGTATCCCCCAACCCCACCACCTGCAGGTCTCTTCAGATTCCCTTTATCATATCTGGTCACCGTCCCCAAGCCTTTGTGTGCTTTTGCTTCTAAGAGCTGGCACCTGAGACTCTATTTGGAGGCCACTCCTTGCTACTGGAGCCTCTTTGTCCTGTAAGCTGAAGAGAAAACCAGAGGCGTCTGGGAGTTATCCTCCTTCTCAGGTGACACTCAACCAGAGACTCACTAAAGAAAGCATAGGAGAGCCCAGCTCATATACTACCCATAAAATAAGCCCTAGCAGGATGTCTAAGCATTTGAGCAATATAAGCCCTACCCGGAAAATAAGACCTAGTGATGGGCGTGGCTACACAGTGTATCTGCACAACCCATGCGTTTCATTGCAGAGTGGTAAAGAAGACAAGCAGTCCTTCTCATCTGCCCCATGAGATCTCTATTGCTCGACATGAGAGATTGGGGCCAATGGTTCTAAAGGAAATAGAGTTGCAAGAAATTCAGAATGGAATTCGGGGTTTGGAGAGTTATGATGTTGTTCCAGAAGAAGACAACTTAACTATATTTGAATAAATGTAGATTGTCGTGCTGTACTTAAAGAAAATAATACATCCCCTGGAAATAAGCCCTAGGGTGTCTTCTTGAGGAAAAATAAATATAAGACCCTGTCTTATTTTCAGGGAAACACGGTACATGCCAGAGTGTCCTGGTAAGATTGGACTAGAGGTAGGATTCTGCCTGGAATCTCACCCTTGCTTGGCTTCTTCCCTCTTCTCTGCCATGCTAATCCCATTCCCTTAATAGTGACACCAGGGCAATTGTTTAATAGGTCATTGTCATAAGCATACCCTCTTAGAATCTGCTTTGGGAGAACCTGATCCAAGATGGCACCCAGTCACCATACAGAAAAGCCCAAACAGGCAGACTTTTCAATGTGGCATCTAGTGCCTGGATCCTAAATGTGAATGTACACCCCAGAATCACCAGGTGTCTTCTGAGGAAAGCTTCCAAGAGAAAACTCATAGACCAAAACAAAACAGAAACAATCAATATGAAAATCAGGGAACAAAAACAACAACAACAAAAATGCCAAAAGGCCAGTGTCACTGTCAGTATTTACATTAGTTTGGCTGTTTACATTATTTTAACATTACAAATGGTTGTCATCAGCATCATCACCTGGGAACTTATTAAAATGAAAATTCTCAGGCCTACAGAATCAGAAACTCTCTAGAGAGAACCCAGCAATCTGAATGCAGCAAGCCTTGCAGTTAATTCTGATTTATACTCAAGTTGACAACAACACGTCAGAAACATGTATTTTTTTAAGTTATTATATAAATACATAAAGAGGATGGGAGAGGGAAAAGTGTCTGTTGGGAGGATGGAGCAGCAGAAATCTTGATTTCATGTAACACAAGCAGAAGTCGATAGAGTAATCACTGAGATTGCTGTGTCAATAAATGGCACCACCCATTCATTCATTGAACAAATGTACTGAATACTTATTATGTGCTAGCATGGTTCCAGATTCTGAGAATACAACAACAGGCAAGAAAAAAGTCACTGTTCTCATGAAGCTTATATTCTAGGTGGAGGACGATAAACACACAAGCATGGAAAAAGAAAAATATATGAGACACTGATGGTGGAGAGATGGAGCATCTATTTTACACTGAGTACTTGAGGTATATTTCTCTGATGAGTGGCATCAGAACACAGAGAAGATGTAGAAGCAGCCAGGGGCCCAATCGTATAGCACTTTCCAGGCTTTGGAAAAGGTTTTTGGATTTATTTGGAGTGAAATGGGAGGGTGGTTCAGGATTTTGAGCAGATAACTAACTCGTTCAGATTTTTGTCAAGGCCCTGTGGATGTGGAAAGTTGCATTTTCCAAATAAGGCCCTAACAGTGTCCCTCATCCCATATACTACGATGTGGTCCTGACACATCTTTCATTGAAAGGTACAGTCTATGGCCCCTGGCTGAAATCTGGGGAAGTTTCTGACTCTCTGTAACTTTTAAGACTAGGTCAGAAAAGACAATTGCAGTTCCTTCCTTCCTTCCTTCCTTCCTTTTCTTCTTCTTCTTCTTCTTCTCTCTCTCTCTCTCTCTCTCTTTCTTTCTTTCTTTCTTTGTGATTTTTCAGAACATCCATGTTTAGAGTCCTGAGCCTTAATATGAGAGAACTAAGTCCATAGAAAGACCCCCTGTGGGGTACTCCAGAGAGTCGCCTAACTTCCACGTCCTCCTAGCCCAAGGTGCCAGTCATTTGAGTGAAGACACATTCAAGTGATGCCAGATAAATGGAACGGCTAGGCCATGGGTAGGTGTGTGTTTAACTTTATTAGAAATTGCCAAAGTGTTTTCCAATGTGGTTGGACCATTTTACATTCCCACGAGCAATAAGGAGGGTTCCAGTCACTTTACTTCTTTGACAATAGTAGGTATTGTCAGTAGCTTAAATTTAGCCATTCTGGTGGGTGTGTAGTAGAACCTCTTTGTGGTTTTCATTTGAATTTCCTTAATGACTAATGGTGCGGAACACTTTTTCATATGCTTATTGGCTATCAGATATCTTCTTGTGAGAAGTGCGAGGGAAAATGTGATGAGATGTCACTACTACCATGTTTATGTGACATAAAGTTGCAAATGACACCTTGCTAGAAGAACCCATTGTCTTGTTGGCTTGCATACTTTATGAAGTAATTTGCCAGGTTGGAGAGGCTCACATGTAATGAAGTAACTATCACTGTGGCCCTTCATCCAGCATCCCTTGAGAAACTCACTTCTGCCAAATACCATGTGAACTTAGGGGCAGATCCCTTCCGTGTCCAGCTTTCAGATAATATTCCACCTCTGGCTCAAACTTTGACTACGGCATTGCAAAATATCCCAAAGCAGAAAATCCAGCTAAACTCTGTGCAAACTCACTGCAACACAGAAATCATGACATAATAAATGTATATTGTTTTGAGCTGCTAAATGTGTCAATTTTTTTTTACACAGCCATAGATAATACATATGCAATGGAAAAATTTTTCCTGAGTTATATATTGTCAAGCTCATAGGTATGCAGTGGTATTTCATTGTGGTTTTAATTTGCATTTCCTTAATGATGCTTTTGATATGCTCTGGGCTATTGGATATCTTCAGCGTGAAGTATTTGTTCAAACCTTTGGCCCATATTTTTAATTGGATTGTTTATCTTTTATTATGATTGAGTCATAGGACATTTTTCAAAAATATGAATTCTGATTATAAGTTCTTTTTTCAAATTCATCTAGTAAAAACATTTCCACCCAGTCTATGACTGGCATTTTTGCTTCTTTGAAGGTGTCTTTTTGTAAAGCTGAAAAATAAAGTGTGAGTAGTTCTAGATCATCAAGGAAGAATAGCTGGGAGGACATTTTAGTATTTTAAGTGAGAGACATGAAGGTGGCTTGGAGGCCATGGAGGCATTGTGAAAAGGTGATCAAATTTTGCTTATAGTTTAAAGGAAGAGTATCCGGGATTTGGCTTTAGGGTGAGAGAAAAAAGGAGACAATCAAGAATGACTCCTAAATTTGTAACTTTCATAACTGAAATTCTAGACCACCTCCTTTTGGAAACTACTAGTGACTTCCCTTTAAAATGAAGCATTTTCCACAGTCCCCACAATTCCCTGCTACTCCTGGAAAAAAAGGTCAAATGTCAGTTGCCATTTTGCATCATGTTTATATCATTTTTTTCCTTTTACCTAATAGGCTTCACTCATTTACATTGCCAGCCTGACATCTAGAAGGCCTTGATTTTCCTACTCTGCACTAAAGAAAAGTGCCCTAGATTTGGACTTATGAGGCAAAATCTCCAGTCTCAGCTATGTGCAATTGGACAAATCACATTAAATCTCTAAGACTCGGTTTTCCTGCCTATCACATGCCTCTCTCACAATGGACCTAATTAAATAAATTGACATAAAATAATATTCATCCTGTCTTTTCTATATTTTAAAAATATCTATGATCCTACTGTTTATTTTCATGGGGTCAAATACCCTCTCACTTCTTTTCTGCGATACGTTGCTACTGGATCTTTCTTCCTCCATTCTCTCATTCACAATGTGGTCATCACCAGATATTCTATCTAACAAATCTCGTTTGGTTTCATGCGCAAACACTCACTTCACTGCTACCTTTGACTTGCCTTTGATTTGGTTCTTCCCCTCCATGGGGCAGCTCTTAACCTGTATTTCTGTGCCACAAATTAGGTATCTCCTTTACTAACTATGCCTGCCACTGGTAATAACCTTTATCCTCTGAACTCCTATAGAACTTATTTACATTTCTTTTACAGTGACAAAAATTCTGATGGTACTTTTTAATTGTTTCCTACTCTTCCAAAATGTTAACTCACTAAAGGCAGAGATCATGCTGTATATATCATAAACCCTCTCTCCCCCAAAAGGTGCTGAAATGCTAAACATAGACTACATGCTCAGTATTTACTAAACCATAGAACAGAGTTTTAAAGGAAAACTAAAACATGGGATATAGGCACACTTCAGTTGAAAGGCTGTCTCTGCCTCTTAATTTTCTGGGAGACCACAGGCAAAGTGGCATTCTGAGCCCCAGTCTCCAGTATGGATAAAAGTGTCTGTCGAAAATGGTTGTTTGGGGTATTACATTGGGTAGCTAAAGTGCTTAGTATTGTTCCTGGCTCAGGTAAGTATTCAGTAAATAATCAGATCCTTTTCCTAAATGGCTTTATTGAAGTACAATTTATTTTTAGTAAATGTAGAATATTATGCAACTATTAGCACAATCCAATTTTAGGACATTCCCTCCACCAAGAAATAAAAAAAGAGAGAGAGAGAAAGAAAGATTCCTCATGGTCTTTTGTGGTGACTTCTTGCCCCTACCCACAGCTTCAGGCCACCACTAGTCGACTTTTCATCACTATGGAATTGCCTATCCTGGACATTTGATATAAATGGACTTGCATAATGTGTGGCCTTTTATATCTGCCTCTTTGTCATTTAGCATTCTGTTTTTGAGGTCCATCCATGTTGCCGCATGCATGAGAGGAAGCAAAAGCTTTATTTTCTTCTTTTTCTTTAAAAAAAAGGAAAAATATCAGTCTTCAAGGGTTTAGTAGAAATTAAGCAATGTCGTTGGATCTACTTGGATGCGTATCGGAATTGACATGCAGTCAGATGTCATCTATACAAAACGTCTTTTGTTTTTCTCTAGGAAATGTCTTATGCATTTCAAATATATCTTGGCACACATGAGTGTGATGGGTTATTTCAAAATATTGTATTGACCAATCACTGTGACTTCACCATACACTAAATATCATGAGAACAAAAGGACTGGGGAAACCAGTTCCGGTAAATTAAAATCCACTTAGATGACACTCCCATGAGCAACCTTCATTTGAACTTGACTAGAATAATTACAAGCTTTTGTTCAATTTCAGCCTACGTTGTGTGCATTTTACTAATAATAGAAACAGAAAAAAATCTTTTTTGAAAAAGTATATATTTTTCCTACTAAAATAATTTATGGAATAAGTCAAAGAAAAAACATCCTCATTTTAATTCTTGAACTTTACTGAGTATGTTGTTTTTGACAAGGAAGATCTCTTTACAGCCAAAGCTGATGTGACATTGGAATGAAGTATTTGAGAGCATCATTCAGGCCTCAAACGTGAAGCAGACAAAAAAAAAAAAAAAATCAAAGAGTTTTGTTGTTGGGTGTCATTTAATTTTGCAGAGAAAGAATTTCCCACATGGCACTGTGAAAGAGTTAACCTGCTCCTGAACATTCAGAACTTTGAGTGAAGGAGAAATGCATGTACCAGGAAAATTGGGCTCACCGTCTCTTAAATATTTACCATTTTCTCAGAAACATGTGGTAGCATAATGTTATCATTTTCAAACTGCTACCATTGGCGATGTGGATATCACTGTCATCTTTGAGATGTTTTTCAAATATTTCTGTCCTTGGCCAAGCCACAAATTCAATTTGTGCCCAGTTAAACCCTCATAAAACAGTGTCTTTGACAAATGATTGTTTTTTTCCTTCCCGACCCAGAGAAATGCCAGACAGAGCTATTTTCACTTTTGGTGGGAAATGTTCCATTTAGACTGACGCAAAATTACATGGCAAATATCCTGAGGTTCTTTTCTTGTCATATGGCTAAACTTTAGAGTTGTGAAAGTGATCTAACAATTATAATAAAATGTAGCTAATAATAGTATGCTAACATCTTTCAGTATGTTCCAAGCATGTTACTTAAATTATAATATTTATTTGCATATAGCAAGTATTTTTGCATATAGTGCATATCAAATTATTACTAGTAGATGGGGAAACTGAGTTTAAGGAAGGATAAATTATTCACCTATGATCAGTAAGTGGCAGCCTCCTTCTTCACCACCTTTGATCATCCTTCATTAGCACCACATAATTAGACTTTGATCTACCCACTTGAAAATATTAAAAACATCGTTAGGTGTGTTTTGGGGTTATAAGCACAAAAATGAGTACCTCTACTAATCTAGAATTTTTACTGTGAAGTCACATATATTTTGTGGAGAAACATAAATTATACAGGGGATTAATTTAAAAGATATTGGATATCCAACATATATTAATGTAGGAAAAATAGACACTTAGATATACTCTGTTTGCATAGATACATATATACACACATATGTACATACATAGAGACTCAGAAAGGAATCCTAAGCTATTTTTGTAAACTTTTAGGCAGTCCCAAGTGGTAAAGTTATAAAAGTTAAAATGCCTGTGATATCTGTAGTAGAGAATTAAAATAGGTCTGAAAAGCAGAACTTCCAACTTGTTGCCATGGTAACGAAGATGGATCTTGACCGGTGGACAGCCATTGTACAGGACTAGAAGAGGGGGAGTGACAAGGATGGGTGGGTAGCAGGTGTTCCTGACTCACTAATCTGTATTTTTAACCTTGTCTCACTACCCATAATCCATACTGTACATGCCAACTCTCTTAGCCTCTTTGTTAATCTCTATATCTACCAAGCGCGATCTGTGAGGCAATTGGTGGAGTCCTTTGGAGTGGCCCCCCATCCCTGTACCCATGCTTCCCACTTCAGCACATGCTGGGAGGCTCCTTCACTTCCACTCCACCTCACGTAAACTACCACATTTTCTCCTATAACAAAGAAACTAGGATTCAATGCCCCAAGAACATAGTTTGAAAGACTGGCCATTCATAGTCTAGTACAGGGGTCAATAGAGGTCCTGTTTCTATAAAGATCAGATGAAAAATATTTTCAGCTTTGCAGGCCATGCAGCCTCTGTCATAATTACTCAACTCTGCTGCTGTAGGAAAAAACAGCCATAGACAATACATACACTGATGAGTGTGGTGGTATTTTAATAAAACTTTATTTATAAACACAAGCAGTGGGCCAGATTTGGCCTGTGGGCAGTTGGTTTGCCGGCCCTGGCTTGGAATTCTGTACCAAATGATTCTGATGCTGGGTTATTTGTGGAACCCAGCATCATACAAAGGCAGGGAGTATAAGCTTTGCATGAATGAAGTCCTCGTAGCTGCAGAGCCTGGACTGTCTTGAGTCTTGTTTAGGTACTACATCCTTGGACACGTTTGCCCAACAGTACCAGGAGATCAGATATCACTACTATTTTTAGCATTCTCTCTGGATATATTTTTTAAAACTGTCTGGGAAAATGTATCATCTCTGGCTAATAACTGCTGATGTCATGAAAAACAATGAGTGTAATATTTTCCTTTGCAAAGACTAACTTAGGTCACTTTCAGGAGGATATTGTCTTAGTTACATGGAGTGGCCAGGCAGTGTCAGACTTCACACATAGGTTTGTTTACACAGCAACATGTCTGTGGCTACTTGGTTTATGTTTTTAATAGTTGGGTGGACTCTGCCACACAGTTTGGATTTTTAAAAAAATTAAAGGCTTGCTTTTGGTCGTTTCAGAGGGTTTGTGTCATGGAAAGAGAGAATGAATGATTCAAATAATAAATATATCCAACTTTTCAATAGGCCTTTATTTGGCAAAGCATTTGAACACATTCTCTCTTAAAGGGAGTGATGATGGCCTGACCTTCCATATGCCTAGGTGACCACATGGTACGAAGATGGACAACAATGTATCCAAGGGCCATATCAACTACATTCAGTAAGTATGAGAGTTGCTGAGGAAAGGACTCTTGGCAGAGCTCTGGAACTACGCTTTTAGTGCAGCTTCCTTTTCTAATCCTAAATCAAGCCACTACACTCAGTCTCTTACTTTAATAACCACTAAATCCCCATGCTAGGTTTCAAAAGAAAGAAAGAAAACCTACTTTAACTGTTAAAACTTCCCTGAAACCTACTCATGGGAAAAGGGCACATATGGTGTTGTAATTTTTTTTTTTTCCCAGCAAGACATCTGTAGTATTCAAGAAATAGCTAAAATCTGTTGGATTCCAGAAAGCTTTATAAGCTGAACTCCAAAAAAGATAAATTATTTTTATTAGAATCAGCAATAGTCGATAATGAAGACAATCCTAGCTGGAAAACAACTTTTCAGAAGAGGAATTTGGGTACTGTGTAAGTTTACATCTTGCTTGCAAACAGCAAGTGCTAAGAAAATCACTTTAATTTCCAATGCATGAATGGTAGAGTATAATGACAAAAACCCTGTGCATAGATAATGGGAAACAATGGTGGGCCCATCAATTCTCTTGCAGTGACCTCTCTAGGCAGCATTTCTGAGTGCTTGGCGCCAACTATTGGTTCAATAAATATTTTTGAGCACCTACCACAGGACAGGCATTGTGCAGGGCACTTGGAATGCAGCACTCCACAAACCTGTAGGTTATCAGGCTGCAGAGAGCTTAAATCTTAAAATGAACATTGGAAAGGACAGATAATTAATTGACTACAGTGTGGTCTAGAAAA